GCCGCTGGGGACCAGCTTTCCTCCGCCTGAGCTCAGCTGCAGCCCACGATCAGACCTTTCCATCGGACCCTCCCCTCCGTTTGCCCCGCGGCCCTTTGGGAGCTGCCAGAGCCCAGAACTCCGTGAGTCACCCTCGGGAGGCACGGTTGGCTGCTCTGGAATGCAGGAGAGCCCTGCGCACTGGGCCGCGGTAGCACACAATCACACACGGACACAGGCATACTGGTGCAATTTCACACGCAGGCGCACACGCGATACAGGACACATCACAATCATACTCTTACCCACACATGACATAGACACCCATGCACACTCACATTCACACGCGCTGATACATAGACTCACATATGCACAATCACAAACACTCGCACAGACCGGTGCCTAGTGCTATGGGAGTGGCATCCTTGCATTTTGCACTATTAGCGAGAAGTCCACACATCTCTCAGCTCCACTTTCTACTACCGGCCGAAAACAACCAGCTTCCTGCTTTCAAAACGACCCTACTTTTCGAGCATAGCCTGCAAAAGCCAAGGGTAGTTGTGTAACGCAGGCGTGAAAAGTCTCTTTCTCTGATAGCACTGGGGCCCATAGTTGGACGCTTCTTGACTTCAATCACTGACTCCGTGACCTTGGGCAACTCTCTTAGTCTGTTACAGTTGCAGATCTATCTCTAAGATGGGATAGGAGCCGTAATAACAGCTATGGCTGAGTGGTTGTGAGCAACAACTTAATGAACCCTTAATGAGGTAGTGATGTAACGGTGAGATACATTTTTGCTGTCTTGTATTTAATATTACTGTTTTATCACAATGTCCCAAATCAGAAAGGCTTTGCTTTTGCCTATGATTATGAAGTTCACAGTTACTCAAGGGCCTTTCCAACTTCCCCTTGTGTAGAAAAGTAACATCCCAAGACCCAGGATGGGGAGAGCCGAGGCTGCTTCCTTCCTGGGTCTTGCAGCTCAGCCATTCCCTCCAAGGGACCTGCCTCCACTAGAGAGGAGGTGGGGCATAGGCCAGAAACCTTGCTTGCCAGATGCAGGCCTTCTCACTTGCGGTTATTTAGGCCATCCACATTACTCGTACTCTGCCCTTCTGCGCTCCAAACCGACGTAGTAGAGGTAACTTTCTGGGGGCCATAGCATCATCACCCGGGAGGGGAATCCTGACCTTTTCTGCTTAGATTGTTTTGGGGCCTGCTCCAAACCTAGTTTACAATAGAGTGTGGCCTCCGGGGTTTGGGGCTCTGGAAAAAAGGAGGCCACTTAACCCTGTGTCCCTTTGCATTTCTGCATTGTTTTCCCAGGCTAGAAAGAACTGCGCTGAGCGCCGCTGAGCGCAGTTCTAAAGCAACCGCTGCCTATCAGACTCCCCTGTTCCCTCACCCCTACCCCCGCTCCAGTTCCACATTCCGTGGGGTTTTTTGAGTACCAGGAGCTGGTGCCAGTCTTCCTCCTGCGGTCGACTCCTTTGAGCACACTCCCCTCCCCCCTCCCGAAACCAGCGGGGAGAGACGGGGCAGTAAATTGGCTGGTGTCGAGGATCTGCCGCAGACAAGATGATTAAGAGGCCTACGCCGGAGCGCCCGGGGCAGGGAATGTCAGCCCAAGTTGGAATCACGCAACAGGCCTTGGCATGAGCCGAGCATGGGAGCCGGGAGGGCGGGCGGCCCCTCTCCG